CAAGGCCCTCTGAGCAGAGAATTGTTTGGCCATCTTGATCAGTTGTGATAAGGACCCAAACTGGCGAAGCTTTATTTATTGTGTACCTCCCCAAATTTGCAGCTGGGATAGAGTGAAAAGATTGGCTCATGCAAGACATAATGTGGGAATGTGAGAGCAGACAGGTGTCAGTGCTTGAATGTATCAACAATGTTTGAATTCATCTACAAAATTGCAACCTTGTGCAGGAATGGCAGGGGCAGAAANTTTCCTACAGTGTGACATGTATACATAAAACAAAACGGGCCTAGATAAACGTGGTATACATTAAACAAAACAAAAAGGGCCTAGATAACCGGGGTATACAGTTTAAAATGTTAATATATTTAAAGTGTTCAAAGTGCAGTTTCAGTGCAAGTCAGTTGAAACGATCTTAAATTTGCGTGACGTTGAAGTCGTGCGACCCTGCTGCTGTACTGGCTTGTAGTTAGTTTATAGCATAACGTTCGCATTTTGCTTCTGGCGACTAGATTTATGATTCAAAAATTATAAAAGTAGGGGCAGAAACACAGAAGTCTCACACATACACACGCACAGGTGCACAGGACCTACGATTTCCACACTTTTGTTAGCCCCGAACATCCTGTATGTAATATAAATGTGTAGGGGGGGGTACAGCGGGTGGTCATTGAAAATGTGTTCTGATATATGTTCTTCACAGAAAATTAGCCAAGGCCATTGAGTGTGAGTTTGAAAAAATAATTGATCATATCATTTTTCTTTAGATAAATAATGAAAACGGGTCCCACGGACCTGAACACCAAACAAGGGTTACAAAAATAGGTATTCCTTTACCTGCAACATTAACCCTTACATTGGCAAGGACATATGCATATTTCGGAAAATATATAATGTGTATTTTCTAATGCATCTAGGCTAGATAGGCACATTTCAAGACTTTTATTTTCCAGTTTACAATCTCTTTCTCCTGTGATTCCTTTGCCCATAAATGGAGTAAATTTATTTATTACTAAAGCCTTATTTGATATATTTTACACCCATATTACACCATTATAACACCAAAATGACACGCATATTACACCAAAATTACAAACATATTACACCATTTGTACCCCTCTATTCGAATGTATAAAACCAATATTACAATGTCTTTCACCAATTGTACAGCCAAATTACAATCTCATTAAACCAATACTACAGTTTGACACAGCACACATGAGAATTAGCGTTTATGCTTTTTAATCCTTTAATACATTTTGATGCTATCCCTAAAAGGATCACAATGCAGGACTTTACTTATAATTAATAACTAATAATTTTTACATTTAACAACTTTTTGCTGAAGTAAATGATCTGGGTACTTCATCTACCACTACATTGACATGTGTTCTGCAGAGCGCCCAACCTTTGTGAAACGGCCCAGCAGTGTGGTGGCGTTGGCGGAGGAGAGCGTGGAGTTCCACTGTGCGGTACAAGGAGACCCTGTTCCCACTGTCCGCTGGAGAAAAGACGACTCTGACCTGCCTAAGGGCCGGTAATGCACAAAGGCTCCTCTATACACACATTAACACACCATGCAAACCCAGCGTTCCAACCTCTCCTTTCATCTCCTGATTGTGTGTGTTGCTCCTGCCTCCAGATCTGAAATCCAAGAGGACCATACCTTGATTGTTCGCCAAGTGACCTATTCTGACGTGGGCTCGTACACATGTGTGGTGGAGAACATGGTTGGAAAGTCTGAATCATCTGCCACGCTCACTGTCCACGGTCAGTACAGCCCGACCCTCACATGTGATGTCATCTAAATGCCCCATCTTCTCTTTTATTCACAGTTCACACTCTTTTTTCTCAGATTTCCTTTTCATGGATGAAGTATTTGCAACACAGCTGCTTCTAGCCTAGCAGGAGAACTAATCCTGCTTTGAAGTGTCACAAATTAGCAGGCAGTGACTCTCAGTTCCCAGTTGTAAAGAAATGCTGCGATTTTCCAAACCATTCAATGCAGGAAGACAATTATTGAATTGATGACTAAAAAAAATCACTGCATACATTATGACAGCCCATAAAATATATAGAGTTATAGTTACTTAAAACATAGGTAGAATAATATTCATTGCTGCATTATACTGCAGATTTCCAAACAATAATAGTTTCAGGTTGCATTTTAAACCAAATGAAGTGCTGCATGTCCTTGTTATATTCTAGTACATGAACGAAACAATAATTATTTTATCATTTATTAAAACACTGTCAGCACAGAAACCAAATGGCATGAAAAAAGAGGAAAATAAGTTATATTATGCTGCTGTTTTTTTTTAATAAAAATAGAGGCAGAAATATCTCTGTTTTAGTTTTTTCAGTTTGTTTAACTTCCTTGCCTGAGGTCATATAGTAGCATTTATTTTCCGATTAGGACACTGCAGCAGTTTGTTTACAACACATTTCATGGTAATGTCCTGAATAAACCGAGAAGAGCATGCAAAGTAAATGTTTGCGTGGCCGCAGGAAATGGATTAATTTTGTCTGAGCGGTCCCGCCACAATGACACCCTTCATTCCATAAATCAGCATCAGGAAAGAGCAACAAGTCACATTGCATAGTTGCACAAACATGCATACAGCATTATATACACACTTAAACACACAAGGCAGTAACACAGTGGGTGACATAGGCTGGGAGGGCACTCTGACTTAATTAAAGATAAGGGCAGGTTGGATGCATGCTGGGAAATGACATGCTTCTAATTGCATCGTCTTCCTCTGCTTCCAAAAACCTGAGAAAACGAGTGCTGGGGCGGGGGGGGGTGGTGGTAGCATAGCTAATTTTGGAATTGAATGGAGAAGGGAAGGAATACATGGCATATGAGGAAACAGAGTTATCTAAGATAATGTGTGTTTTATGGTTTTATTACAAAGAAAAAACTCTGGCAGGCGCGATCATAAATATAGTCGTAACCACAAAATCATTTTTACTGACATAGAACATTTGGTTGGTATTAAACAGCTGCCATTTAAAACAGATGGATCGGGCCTAGGAGCTTTTAACGGTTTGCACAGGTCCCAAGTTTGAAATGAAATGACTTCTCAGCGTTGCACTCGTTTAAACAATCTGTATTCTGGCAGGGTCTGTTAGATAACTTTTAAAAAAAGAAGTCCTATACATGATGCACATCCTTTCAGACAGGGGTGCTTAAGCAGCTTTCCTGCAAGATCATGTGATTACATTTTTTTAAAGACAGTCTCAGAACCCAAAAATGTTAAGCAATTACCGCAGTCTTCCTCCCGCAGCAGTTCCAAAACAAGCTGGTTAGCTAGCCATTCATTTTGCTGTAAATCTAGTTTACAGATGTCAGGATGCGCAGTACTTCTCATCTTAAAAAGTGTCTTTGTTTGTCCAGTGCATTTACTGGAGCAAATCTTCACAAAGCACCAGCAGCTCCCCTCCATCCGGACGCAATGCTCGTTACTCTGCCCTCACAGTTTTATGTCCTCGTTAGGGGATTGTATCTTGTGTCCAAATGCGCCTCGAGGCTGACGGGCTCTGTAACTCAAACCAGCAATTACATGTACTTTTCACACCTCACAGTCTGCAGGGGCTAATAGGGGCTAAACAGCACATCTTGTCCTTTGACATCTGGTTTTTGAAGTTTAAGGCGTTACACTTTTGATTCTAAAAGCATCCTCTCCTTTTATGGTGATTATTTTCAAAGTATTTTTTAAAATGTATGAGCATATGGTTGGTTCTCATATCATTCATGCCCTTTATATTCAGTATATCTAGGAGGAAATGGAGATAAATTAATCATATTAATACTTAATCATCAATAAATTATCCATCTTCTTTTATTTCCTTCTACCCCTCCATTTTTGAACGGATAAATAAAAATGAAAGAAAATGGATATTGTAAAAAACACTATGAACAGAAATGAAATTAATACAATAAAATAAATATATATATTTTGGATAAAACATAAAAATTGTTCTTAGACATAAGTGAATACACTTTTGACTTGCACTGCTATATTGCTAACTTCATACTGTTTTGCCATACCAATTTCATTGTGCTGCATCTCCAAGCTTGTGTTATACTGTTGAAAGCCTCTTTGCATCTCCATGTACATTACTCATTACATTGTTCTTTTTTTGTTTCTTCCTTGTAGTCAACACCGGTAAGTTGTCCTCCATCCCTCATCCACCACCAGACAGCAACAAGAAATCTTGAGCTCCTGTCATTGTCCTTATTCCATCCATCAATACAGTATGTAATTCATCTTCTGTGTGGGTAATTAAAGGGGCCCTATTATGCTCATTTTCAGGTTAATTTGAGTTTTTTTGTGCCTCTACTATGTCTCCATGCTTTAATGCGAGTGTTACGTAATAACGGAAGTAAAAAAGTTATCCAATGGAAGCGTTTCAGGAAAGGGGGGGGAGTGTTTGGGAGAGAAACTCCCTCTAGAGGAAACTTTCGGATTTTAGCCTTTGCAGACCATTAACATGCACAAAAACATAGCACACTACAGGAAAGGGGAAAACCCCAAAAAGCATAATAGGGCCTCTTTAAAAGATATGTGCTGTTTGTTCATGAAAAAGGTAAATAATGACTGTTTTTGCTACATACTATATTCTTTTAGCTTTTCATGCATACTTGAATATGCTAAATCTAAATGATGAAAATGTGTCAGGCTGCCAGGTAATTAGCGCCTCATTTCCTCTGCAGTGCCCCCAGCGTTTGCCATCCACCCCAGGAACCAGGTGGTGGGGGTGGGCAGGACGGTCACCTTCCACTGCGAGGCCACTGGCAACCCACAGCCCGCTATCTTCTGGCAGAGGGAGGGCAGTGAGGTGAGATTCCCCCCCATAACACTGAAGCAGGGGTGTCCAAACTACGGGCCGGGGGCCAAATGCGGCCCGCGGACCATTTTGAATCAGCCCTCAGCAAATTCAAAAAGTACAATTGAATATGGCCCACAAATTAAACTTGTGCTTGTCTTATATTGTACTTCTTAAATATAAATGTAAACATATATTACACACCAGTATTCATGTATTAATAAGACCACTTTTCAAATAATTCAGTCAATTAAATATTTTCTAACATATCTTAGTTGATATGAGCCCTTATTAACATAACGACTTGAAATACACCCTTTCTATTTCTCCTTATTATAATCACTCAGAGGCTTCTGTTTTAAGGGATGAGCTGCCAACATAATTTACATACATTAGAATGAGTTTTCTTACTTATAACTGAACTTATGAGGCAATATACCTCTAGTGAGCGGCCCAGCCCTTCGTATATTTTTCTGTATGTAGCCCTCCGTGAAAAAAGTTTGGACACGACCCCTGCACTAAAGCTACACAGAGCAAATAAAGCCAATGTGTTTCTAACTCTCTGTTTGCCCCTCCAGAGTCTGCTGTTCTCCAACCATCCGCCGCAGCCCTATAGCCGTCTGTCTGTGTCCCAGATGGGCAGTTTGACCATCACCGATATTCAGCGCTCTGATGGAGGCTTCTACAGCTGCCAGGCTCTCAACATCGCCGGGAGTGTCATAATCAAAGCGCTGCTGGAGGTCACAGACTGTGAGTAAAAGGGAAAGTGTGATGGAGGGCAGACGGGAGGGGGGTGCTTTTATTTGGCAGATTTTTAGCTTCAATGTTTTGTTTTTTGGCTTCTTTACTGCAGCAGTTTTCCTTTGTTAGGCGTGTGAGGTGTGTTAGACTTCCTTATCTAAAGGTGTATTATTTGGTAATAACCGGGGGGCACAAAACAGTCTGTTTCCATGGTGATTGTGTGTGAGGATTGTCTGGCCTTGTGTATCTTACCTGTGAAAATAGAATTTCTTCATTTACAACTGAACAAAATGTAATCTAAAAAGGGTAAGAGGAAATTGAAATATTCAAAGGCTTCATTGTCATCTGCACATTAGTTGTCTATGCAATGAAAATAAAAAGGTTACTCCAACAAGACATCAAAGGAAACAAAGACATTTAAAAAATGGTAGCGTATTATTGTTGAGTATAACAGACTTACTACAGAATATTCAGATATTTTTTGTAGATTAGTCAAAAAAAAAGTGAAGGAACAATATTAAAGGGGCCCTTGTGGCTCATTTTCAGGTTCATGTTTGTATTTTGTGCCTCTACTGGGACATGTCTCCATGCTTTAATGTTCAAAAAGCTCTTTATTTTTTTCATACTGCCTGTGCTGCAGCACCTCTTTTCACCCTTTGTCTGAAACCAGAGCCCAGTCCGCTCTGATTGGTTAGCTGGCCATCTCTGGAGTGATTGGTCAACCACTTAGAGATGTGTTGGAAATGTCCCGCCCCTTAGCAAATTATTTACAATTCAATGGATCGCTAGCCAATAAAAGCGTGACTGTTATCTAGTGAAGTTTACAAAGAAGTAGACAAAGGAGTCCAATGGAGGCGTTTCAGGCCGGGAGGGGGAGTGTGTGGGAGAGAAACTCCATCTGCAGGGAACTTTGGGATGTTAGCCTTTGCAGACCTTGTACATGCACAAAAACCTATATAACACAATTCAGGAAAGTGTAAACCCCAAAAAGCATAACAGGCCATATTTAAGCTACAAACTGCTTATATTTTAATACCCAAATATTAGTCACAATTTGTACCTACTACAATTGAGTAATTCAGGCTACATACTCTGATGGGGCAAGTTAATTGTAGGAAAAAGAAAAACCTAACAATATAAAATAGAACAGGCTAAAACAGGATGCAATTTGAAATACTGCACAGCAAAATAATATACTGTGTAATGTAATATAACAATGTATATCTAGAAATACTATTATCAATCGTAATTTTATTTTCTATTAATTCAACAAAGGCTGTGTTCTAATCTACTGCAACTATTTGTGAGTTGGGACTGCAAGATTGACATGTAATATATTTTTTAAATTACTTTTATATGAGAACTGGTATGAGGGCCTATCATCAAAATCCTAGGTGAGGAAATAGCTGTGCTAATTATTTTAAAAAAAAGTAATTTAAATATGCTTGAAGGCCCATTCCAGTAATTACACACAGCCAGCAAAGGCTGCAAGCTCCCAATTAAAATAACCTGTGTGAAAATGATTACATGTGTTTGGGTAACAGTGTGCTATGTACATATGTGCAGCCCTATTATGTATAAAGCATGCTTGTTTTGGAGATGTTTTCTGCAGCCGCCTCAGTGGGAAAAGAGAAGCATCCACTCAGTGAAAAACCTGCTACAGGTAATGGAAATAAATAAAGATGGGGTCATGTTTTATGTAGTTTTTTCTCGGCGGTCTCTAGCATTGCACTCACAGCCTGTACATGTTCCTCTCCACTCTCCCCTCCCCCAAATTCTCTCCATCCCACCACACTCCTCATCCCCATTTGGAGTGGTGCATTTGTATGGAAATAACTGCTCCACATTACCTGCAGCAGTTTTCGAGGCGTGTTTTCATCACCTTTCTTTCCACTGATTTTTTTATTTATTTATCTAGAACCCCTGCCCCCATGCACAGGATTTTAAAATGTCAGAGGGGGAGAGGGAAAAGAGTTGTGTTATCTAAGTGGGGTTGTTATTAGTTGGGCTCTGCCTTTGTGATTGGAACCGGCTCCAGCACCTACTGCTGAACGAACGATTAGTTGCTCTCCGCTGGAGGGGAAAAGTTGATTTCTCTTTACTCCGCTGCCTGCACAGCCACATAAACCCATTGTTCCCTGTTTGCCAATTTTCCCTTCAATATCTTTCACATCTTATCTGTCTTTTCTTTTTTTTGGCAGCATTTTCATTTTTTCTACTTTATTTCTTTCTCTCTCTTCGTGGCTTTGATCTTTTAAGAACATCAATTCCCTATTCTGTTTTTTTTGTTGGCATGTTGCTTTTAGTTGATGGTGAGAGTAGAGATGGAGACAGGAACAGGGAAGGAGATGTAATGCAACAATAGAGAAGGCAGTTATGAGGAACATGTGAAAGCTGAGCTGAGACAACAGAGAAGAAGGTAACATGTATGAAGAGGAAATTACAGCATCATGGGATAGAGTTCAGTTGAGAGACCTTGTTTCCTCTGCATTAAGCAAACAAATCCCTTTGCATAACCTGACTTTACCCATACAATCCCTACAATGACCACAATGTTTCTGTAACCTCAAACAGATGCTTTTAGTTTCCTGAACATGACCCCAAAACACCTTAGACACGTTGTAGCTGGAGTGTGTTATACAATAAACATAAAACATATGTTCAATATTAATAGCTGGTGTTTGCAGGGAACACAGTGTGACATTAAATAAAGACATTAATGATAAATAGCAGTTTGATATCTGACACAGTAGGGAATAGAAATCACATTTTTTAATTTGAAACACTTTCAAATACCATAGATCTTTTTTAGGCACCTAATACTTCATCACATTTTTCATTACTTTGTGCCGGTTTTCAGGCTTTCCTTCCATCTGTACACACATCTGTTTGCCCATCCAATTCTCATGAACATGATACCTCAGGAACCTCTTCAGGGAATTTGGCACACATATCCACTTGGATTCGAATTAAAAGCTAATTATTATGAGAATTTCACCCACGTAAGATAAAATGCTAAGGTCATGAAATTATGAACGAACATTCACGAAAATTGAATTACTAGTTGTAATTCTAGTTTCTTAATGAGAGTGACTTCATTTCCGCTTTGTTGCATTGAGAGACAATATTGGGCCAATACAATACTTGAGTAAGTGTGGGCATTTTTCAATATACTTTATTTGTAATGTTTCATATATTATAGTATCCGATTTGGCCAAAAGGCAGATGTACACATTAATGATTCAGATTCAGAGTCGTAATACTTTATCCTCCATACAGTAACATGCACATATAATGGAGACGTGTATTTGGCATCGGCAAATAAGATGAAATAACACTCACCACCCACAGTACAACATACCATTTATTCATACAAAAAGAACTAAATTGCATCATATAGTATGGAGCCCCTAAAGCAGGGGTGGGGAACCTTTTTCCTCTCAAGGGCCATTTCAATTTTTACAACATCCTTCGAGGGCCGTACAAATTATTGAACTCAACGTCTGCTTAAAAAACTCAAATCAAAGCCCATTCATTTCGCCTTTCTTTCATGCTGTGCAAAGAAAAAGCAACGTCTTAATCCAGATATTTGACCATGATGGGTCATGGTCAAATATCTGGATTAAGACGTTGCTTTTTCTTTGCACAGCATGAAAGAAAGGCGAAATGAATGGGCTTTGATTTGAGTTTTTTAAGCAGACGTNGAAGTGACATGGTTTCAAAGTCAAGGCAGGACTCAGAAGTATACTATGACCCTGTTCAACAGTATCCCTATGCAATGCGTGCTGATGATCCAAGGCTACAAGCTGAAACCTCAACACAGCTCAACATAAGCAGAAGGTGTGGTACGACAAACGTGCTCGTGAAAGAGAGCTGAAAGCTGGCCAGAAAGTCTTGATACTGCTCCCTACAGGGCCAAGTAAGTTACTAGCCAAGTGGCAAGGCCCTTATACAGTAACCCGAAAGGCAGGCCCTGTGACCTATGAAATTCTCTGTCCTGATAAAAGAAAGTGCAAACAGTTGTTGCATGTAAACCTTTTAAAAGAATATCATGACAGGAAAAACCAGAAGGCAGGTGGAGAACATGTTCTGATGATTCAAGATGTCCAGCTGGAAGAAGAGCATGCGTTGGAAGCAGAGGAGGCTGACATGGTGCCGTACAGAGAGAAGTGTAAACCCCAGGCCCCTCCGGAGCATCTGAGTTTGGATCAGTGGCATCAACTGGGTGAGCTTAAACAATCTTTCCCAGCATTGTTCTCAGAGAAACCTGGACGCACTGATGTGATAAAGCATAACATTGTACTGAAGGACACTAAACCTGTTCGCCTGAGGCCTTACAGAATTCCTGAAAGAATGATGGAACCAGAGGAAGGAGGTAGAGTTGATGTTGGACATGGGAGTCATTGAACCATCTAGAAGTGAGTGGTTAAACCCTATGCTTGTTCCTAAAAAAAACACCACTGAACCTCGGTTCTGCTCGGACATGAGGAAGCTGAACAGCATTTCCTGTTTTGATTCATACCCTATGCCAAGTATTGACGAGCTACTGCAGTTGGGGAAAGCTAAGTACATCACAGCTTTAGACCTCTGTAAAGGTTACTGGCAAGTGCCTCTTGAACCAGCCTGCAAAGAGTATACAACTTTTCAGATTCCAGGGATGGGTTTGTTTCATTACACTGTACTACCCTTTGGTCTTCATGGAGCGCCTGCAACCTTTCAAAGATGAATGGACATTGTTCTTAATGGTTGCACCAGGTTTGCAGCAGCAGATGTGGCAATCTAGTGAATCCTTGGCTCAAGAGGAGGTGAAATACCTGGGATACCTGGTTGGACGTGGGCAAGGAAGGTTTAATCTGGTCACCGGAGCTGGGATGAAAAAAAGCTAAAAAGGACTACGCACTATAAATACATATGTAAAAAAAGTGTCAAATAAAATAAAACAATAAAATATAATAAATACAAATAACATGATTGGATGTATTCTCAGTAAAGGTTTAATCTAGTTACCTAAGGTGCTGGGCTCCATTGTGCAGGTCGTTGCTCCGGTCTCCCTGTGTGTTGGGGGGGTGACTGTAAGACACGACGGGGGGAGACGAGGCCGCCCCTCTAACTGGTGGAGTAGGGCAGCCTTCAATTCTCCCGTCTGGATCAAAACTGATAAGAAAAGGACAACTGACGTGAGGTAATGGCTAAAGGAATGAGGGGTGCTGGCAGTCCCCACACATTAGTCACAGCCCATTACACATCAGTGCAAATCCCTTGGAATGGCAATCGCAACACACATTTCCATCATAGGGAAAAAAAACGTACGAAGAAGAACAATAAGCTTCCTGCACCATCTGTTTTTTTATTGCAGAATTGCTGCATCTGTTAGAAGGCCTCTGTTCATTGTGGGTTTTATGAAGTCATTTCTGTGATATAAAACCTGATGTCGTAGTAAACCGTCTGACAATGACAAGCCTTAATTGTGAAATGTGTTCTTTGGTTGCGACAATAAAGACGTGTTTTGACAGAAGATTTGCATGTGTTTAGAGCATAAGGTCTGACAACTTCAGCATTGAGGGTCTTCTGCAGGTTAAAACAAGTAATGGACTTTTTAAGACCATGTAGAATACAATTTAACACATGTATTTACAGTCGTACTGGCAAAAGTATGAAGGGTTCAAGTAGCCTATGAATGGAAATACAACCCTGAATTGCTTTTTGATTTTTTCATGAATTGATTGACATTCAAAAATATGTAATAATAAAATATAACAGCAGTCTAAACCAGCTGTATCTCAAACAAAAATCTTACGAAGCTGGTAGGGTAGCATGATAGTCACCATGGAGATGGTGGCGCTCTAGAGTAGTAGAGTAGAGTAATGGCAGAAAACATGTATTTACATTTATTTCAGATTTGTAAATGTCAGAATATGTTTTATACCTTCTCAATAATGGAGATGTCCTGCTTTTAATTACATATAAAAGTGAACATCTTTACGTTTTGGACTGACAAAACAAGACAGAAAGTGTGTATGGTACAGAACTACAGTGTGTCCTTCCCCACTCGTACCTCCTCTCCATGGGTAGGCTGTACTCGTCGCAGTCCCAGGCATTAGCATGAGGAGGAGGCGGGGCTTCTCCCCAGCTCACTGCATTATGTTTCTGGATTTTTGGGGCCCGCGTTCCTTTCTTTTGATTCTGACTCCCTGAGATGTGAGAAGAAGACATCAAGGTAAAAAACAGACCTATGTCTCGCCTCATTTAAATTCACCAGAGTGCCAGGTAGCCGTTGGCCTTACCCGCGGTGCTGTTGCTGCCTCTGTCGGAGCTGTGGTGCGAGCCGCCTGTGCTGTGATCACGGCTCTGGTTGTAGGGGATAGTCTTAGGATGGATCATTCCTTCACTTCCTTTCAGATGATCTAACGAAGCAAGAACCATTTTAAACCTCTTTTTTTTAGCATTAAAATGACTTCAAATACATCCAACGTGACCCCGTTTACCTTTATTATGCAGGTTTTGCTCTATGATGTTGTACTGCATATGTGCCATCATCTCCTTTGGTATTGGAGGAGGGTTGGGGGGCTGTTTCCAGCAGTGCATGTCCATAGGTTCAGCTAAAGCCCCCCCAGCAGCTGCTTTACTCTTGATGCTGGCCTGGATGAGCTGCGTGGTGGCGTAGGGGATGGGCTCGTACGTGGCTGCTGGGTCTCCTCCTGGGCTGGCGTAGCACAGGCTGGAGTTGTTGAACGTCTTGATGTCGTTGAGCTTGTTGGAGAGGTTCACGTCGCTGTAAATGGCCATCTCAGGACCCAGCTGTTTGTTTTCAGGATGGCTTCCATAGTTAGCTATGCAGTCAGCTGAGGAGCACATGAACACAGGAAGTCACACAGCTGCAGCTTTGATGGAAGTGGATTTGAGTTTCAAAGACACACAGTACAGTATATCTTTATCTATATAACATAATCATACTGGCTGTAGATATACTTTTAGCCAACAAAAGCAAAGATAAGACAGTAAGATACATGTATTAATGCAATACTTGCAACTTCTTGTATTTCTCAAGCCTCAGTGACTGTTAAACTCATTACAAGACACATAACTGGGTGTGTACAAATAGGATAGCTGTACATCGGTAGCAATATCTCTGTTATTTATAAGTAAAACAAATGTAATGGTTCTGAGAAGATACACATTTAGATTTTTTGGATGAATCCCCGACCCTAAATTATTCATGTAGTTAGAACACATGTGATGATATAGCCTATATTGTAGTTTATTTGCTTAAAAAGAGACAAAATGTAAAAAAAGGAATATTAATTTATATGTTATCAAATGTTCAAGAAATATCCCAATAATATCATTATTATGAATTATTTCAGCAATGGTATCTTGAAAGCCCTTCTTTGATACTGTTCTGCTTTACCTTCCTCTGCAGAATAAATAAAAATGTTTGTTTTAATGGAATTGTGTCTCCGAGGGCTCCTGCGGTGAACTCTGACATGTGGTCAGTCTGGCACTGACCTGGGCGGCTGTATGTTGTCATGTTGCTGTCACTGGTGCCGTTGCCATTATTGCAGCAGTTGATGCTACAGTCCTTGTGATTGGCACATGCATTTGGCCAATTGTCAGGCAGCCACAGCTGGTTGAGAGGTTCCCCCATGCTGAGAAGGCCAGGTCTGCAACAAGGAGGACCACAGAGCTGTCAATCAAAACCTGCCCCTCTCATCATGTGTTGCTGATGAAGGAGCAGGGGGTGGATGCACAGGGTTTGGAGCAGGAAGACACCTCCCCCTAGTGTCTCCACAGTGTAAGTGCATTTATCCTGTGAGCCTTCTATATAACACAAAGGGACACAAATATCACTCACCTGCCAGCACTGCACGCTGATTCTCCTCTTTGATATGCCACTGCAAAGAGAAACAGAAAAAATACATTAAACCTTGATGGGCTGTCAGGAAGAGGAAGTGCCAAAGGCAGAGGAGGTGAAGCCATGAAAGGCATTCTGAGAAAGAAGCCAAAAGTATACACTTCAATACATGCCTCCATCAATAGGGCTCAGAGTCTGAGTCTGTGGTTTAATGTGCGCCAACACAATGTAAAATAATTGCCTTCAACAACCTTCACATGACGTTTTCAGAAACACTGTTTCAGACATGTTCTCCTCTGCACCCAGTAAATGTCAAACAACTACAAATTCTCTTAGAAAACACAGCATATTTCCCTGATTTAATCAAAGCCTTCAACCTTGTGAGCAGGTGGGCTTGGCACAGTATCAGGTGTATTATGAACAGCCAAACACACACTTCTATTAAACAGATGCATGTATATGTTTGTAATGCAATTAAGAAATGTATAGCTAACAACAGATGTTACCTGAGTTTCTGCATATTGTTAATCAATGTCTGCACTTGTGAGGCTTATTATTTATTAGTTGAAGTATTTCAATGAGCCCACACCAAGGAAAGCTACTGTACTATTATTGTGTATTACTTTAACATTTCTGTAAATGTACACATTTGTTTTGTCTCCTTTGGAAAAAGGAAAATGCTGCCATTTGCTGATAAATGCTACTTTTTTTCAAGTTCAGTTTTTTGATTACTTGTAGCAGTTTATTTATTTTAAATAAGTGCACTGCAGAATGAGTGGGGATCTACTTGATTCAACAGAGACAATGCAGACAATAATGGTGTTTAATACATGTCCATTAGATTCAGCTAATGTGTATTTAGTTTGGGAAATTGTGGTATTTTATGTTGAGATGTTCGTAAAATCCCATCCATATGTTATTTTAGCATTGTGCAGTGTTAAATTGTGCTTCAACACCTTTCTATTATGAAAATGAAGAAAATACGAGATTAAAGGGACACCGCACGTGTAATTATCTTAGGATATTTGAACTAAATAAAAGACAGACAAAAAAATGCCAAACACAAACATATCACAAACATTGGCTGAGAAGTCACACTTTACGTACCTGTAGGTGTAAAGGTAAATGATGGCACTGCAGGGAGAGACAAAGACAGGAAATAATTAGCAGAAGCGTTTAACCATTACAGCAGCGATGTGCTGTTACTGACACTGAGCTTTTGTCATGTCTAGGCGTGCACTTGCTGCTTTGTGACGGACATTGTGGTTGTCAATAAACATTTAAATAACCACATGCCAGCTGCCTAACTGCTCCCTCTGAGTGTCCAGGTGAAGGTTAATGGGGGTGACAGGCAGCCCGAGACAGAGGGGGGAAATAACGCTAGTGTTGTAGCAGCAGACATGGTAATGGCAGGTTGACAGGCCCGCGCCTCTAAGAACTGCGCTGTGTTCAGGAAATGACACTCCACAAATGAGCACCTAAAGGTCAGCCTTTGACTGTCTGCGGAGTCCTGAATGCAGATGTGTTATTTGTGTCAAAAGAAGATTAGCCCAGAGTCTTTTTCCCCCTTTGATGTGATCTGCTTATCATCTAAATTATTCCTTAATATCACTGAGATGAAACTGCTGTTTAGTGTTGTGTCATGTCTTGATCTCTTGTACAATCTCAATCAATGACTCTAAATAATAATGATCACGCCACCAAACACACATTCAAACTAAAGGAACCACCCTGTTTGGAAAATGTAAGAAGTAGAAAATACAGGTATTTGTGTTAAAAATGTAAGAAGAAGAAAGTTCAGGTATTTGTGTTCAACATGTAAGAAGTAGAAAGTACAGGTATTTGTGTTCAACATGTAAGAAGTAGAAAGTACAGGTATTTGTGTTCAACATGTAAGAAGTAGAAAGTACAGGTATTTGTGTTCAACATGTAAGAAGTAGAAAGTACAGGTATTTGTGTTCAAAATGTAAGAAGTAGAAAGTACAGGTATTTGTGTTCAAAATGTAAGAAGTAGAAAGTACAGGTATTTGTGTTAAATATGTAAGAAGTAAAAGTAAAAACTCATCAGAAAAATAAGTAGTGGAGTAAATTACTGATACCAGAAAAATGCACTTAAGTACAGTAACGAAGTATTTGTACTCCACTACTTCCAACTTCTGACAACAGCAACATGATAACCATTTTTTGGACTTAATGGTTTGCATTTGTAACATACAGCCCTCTCAAACACACAGACACAGAAGAAGAACACACACACCCTTGCGGATGCCGGTGTATGTGCTGCTGAGGCCACTTCTCTTCTTGCGGTGCCGGTAGAGCCACACACTGAAGATCATCAGCACCAGCCAGCAGGTGGCGCCAATGCCTGCGATAAAGGCCGGCTGCCTCACCACGTCTGAGATCTGAGACAACGTGTCCCTCTCCTCGCTGTCCATCATCTCGCCTGCAGAGTCTGACAGGAAGAGGAAACATCATGTGAGCACAAAAGCTACTTTAATAATGATGATAATGATTACCATGAAGCAGTGGTGGATAGAAACTCAAGTGCTGTACTTAATTATCATTTTGAGGTACTTTACTTTTTTTCCATTTCCCTCTTCTTTAGACTTCTTCTACTACATTACAGATGCCAATATTTTTGTTTTTATTCCAACACACGTATTTGATAACTTTAGTAAAGGGCTGCAAACGCTGCTATTTGAAAAAAATACTTTTTTAGAATTGCTTTATTGTAACTCTCTTTGTCCTTAAATAAGTTTAGTTTTTAGCTCGCTCTTTTTTTATTTTCTGTGTGTTAAGGTTTCTGTTTTTAAAGGTTGTAACTTAGTTTGAAAGCTATACAAATAAAGTTTATTATTATTGATTTTATTAGTATTTTGTATTAGTATTATAAGTTCAGTAAAAAAGCGTAGTAATACGAAATATAACGAATAAAATACATATTATTAAATGTTAAAATAAAATTGTATAGGTCCCTTGGTGGCATTCACAAGCTATCCAGAGTTTATTTGAAAGTAAAAATAAAATAAAAACAGAAACCTTCACCTTAACTAGCTGCAATACTAAAGTAAAGAATACATTGAGGCATCAATAAGTATAATCCAATAATATTATAACATATATTATTATGAAATGGGCACTTGAGCAGGAAGAGTACTTTTGCTTACTACTTAGTACTTTTTGCTTAATTTACTGATACTAATGTACTTTCACTTCATAACATTTTGGAACCAATACTTGTAACAGAGAGTTTCTACTTTAAAGTATGTCTACTTTTACCTGTTACATGTTACAGAGTAGTTGTACACGGTTGTGTTAAGATTTGAGTACTCAGTCCACCACTAGCAGGATGCATAGTTTAAGATTTCTAGGTGTAGAAAATTGTTGCATCGTTAAACAGCTGAAGAGAGGCAACAGCAGGGTAAGCACAATATACAGCTTTATTTTTTTTCCATGAACACTGTATAGTAAGTGTTGTCCCTGAGACTCTGTCAGTGTTTTTAGATTTAGTCACTTGGGCTGTTTCTCACCTAATTGAAAAAAGGTGACATCACTCTTGACCCCAGCTCCAGCACCGTTGCTTGCTGCTACTTCTACGCTGTAGCGGATTCCCGGCGTGAGAGTGGAGATCAGCACGGAGAAGGTGGAGCCGTCCACAGACTGGTTCACATGATAGCGACTCTCATTACCCAGACACCAGATCTGTGGAGATAAAGTGACGAGAGGAGATGACGGTGATTGCCTGAGGGACACGTCTGATGATAAGAGCCTCACAAAGATACCATTTCCATAATTCTTTCACCTGTATTACACATGATTCAGTGCATGAGTAACATGAAGAGGCGGGGGGGGGCTTCATTTCTAACCTTGTATTCCTGAATGACTCCAGCATCATCTCGCTCTCGAGGTGGTTTCCAAGCAACGAGGATGGCGCTCCCATTGGCATCACTCTTTGTCACTGTAACACCCTGGGGTGCTCTTCTCGGGGCTATGACAATAAGGTATTCCGTTTACCATGCAGACAAAACCTCAGGTGGAGTCTGTTATTACATTTGAGTCATTAAAGTAATGGTATACAATAGCAATAAGCAAATATATGTATCACTGCAGAGCATAAGTTCTTAAGTCACCTTCTTCCAGCGTCCGGACCACTTTCACCTCACTGTCAGCTCCCTGGAACTCATCAAAGAAGGGCCGCACTTTGAACTCGTAGATGGACCCTCTCTTCAGCTGACCAAGCACCACCCCCTCCTCCCGGGGGGCGTGCACCTCCAGAACGCTCCACTGCCCCTCCGGCTGCCCGTGCTCAGCGGACGCCCTGTAGAGCACCTTGTAGCCCTGAATGTACGGGGACTGCTGCTCGACCTAGTGGAGAAGTTAAAAATAGAACAGCATGAAGCATCAGAAATATCACACAATGTGCACAGCTGAAAGAAGTACTCAGGTAGTTATGTTAAAGAAGCCACACTGTAGAAATAATGGTAACTATACTAATAAAGCTTTATTTTTATAGCTCTTTTCATACACTTGGTGCAGCTCAAAGTGCTATAACTACATGGCACACAACACAAATTAAAACAGGAAAGAAGAAATCTAATTCAGGTCAAATGTTTTTTTCACACATGAGGCATCATAACGTAAATTAAGAGGGGAAAGGGTATGATAATAACATAAATAATGATCGAAAAGTTGACGACCGATAACCTTCTAAGTAAAACAAAATGCAGACATGAGACAACATGAATAAATACAATAAAATATAAAAAACTATCAAATAAATAAAATAAAACAATATAAAAAAGTATATACTGTTATACTGTTGGACTGATAAAGGTCCTTAGAATCTATGTTAATAAACAGAAATGATGATTTGTGTTCATAACTATGGTGTTGCAGCTGTAAAATGAGGAGCTTGATTTACCTATAGTGCCTGGATAGCTTGTGAACTTCACTAAGGGTTAAATAAAGTGTTGTCTTAACCAACAATAATACTTATTGAATTATTTGATGATCATATTTTGTTTTATTTATCTGAAGCTTAAACTTTAAAGTAACAATATCTGACAGATAATGGATATAAAAGAACATTATTTGCATCTGAGTTGTGGTGGAGTAGAAGTAGCAGATAATGAAAATGAGTAAATAACTTATAATGTAACTTAGGGTTGAACAGTACTTGGTTAAATTAACTGTAAACATGTAAAAGTGATAGTGTGAATGTACTGTATTACAAACTAAACTAAACAATTGTATTGGGAATGCAATTGAATCTGCATGTTTGTTAAAACAATATGTAGAAGGTTAGATCCGTATCTTCAATAAGGGAAAATCCCGCAGGAATGATTTTTTTAAGCGAAGTTCATTCCTTTTGCCTTCAGGTTGCTATTGATGAATATTTCAGCATGTCTGTGAATCCTCAATGCAAACCACATTATGAGGTCATTAATAGCTCCGTCTCAACATGGTAAAAAAAGCTCTGGTAAAAATCAAGCTAGGAGAGGAGTAAGCACTTTCCACTTTGAAACCGCACAAAGAATGCTTAAGGGATTATTGTGGAGGCATAGGCACATCCAAACACACTTCATCAATCTAGAAAAATGCTGCAAATACAGTACATTCCTGTGTTTGGAAAAAGCATCAGACCAAAGATGAATGTGCTTCTCTGAGCAGCGGGGTTTATTCTCAGCTAATAAATGTAATTTCAGAATAAAGTAAATATTTTAGCACTTCTCTTTATCCCAAGGCGCTGTCATGATCCTCAGATCTCTATGTTTCACTACATCTCTGTTGAAAGTATATTTTCTATCATTGACAGCACACTTCTTTATGTTGCCTAGGGTAATAAGGGGAAACCCATTAGATAGTGTAAGTGTGCTTTATAAGAATCTCTAAAACATTGGTTTCTGATTATCGTCTACTCGATAAGTCATTGCAATAAAAAATAATGGAAATGATTGAAAGTCAATCCATCATAAAAAAAATGTTCATGCAAAATGCAGTTTCCCTCCCCTGAAATATTGAAATTTCCTTTTTTTCATTTTTAATATCATATGAGATTGAATCTCTTGGGATTTTTTTGAAAATGACAAGACTTCAAAAGACATTTAAAGCAATTTTTGCTATTTTCTGCAATAGTTTTAGACCAAACGATTAATTGATTAATCCAGAAAATATCGGGCATATTAAAAAATAATGACAAATTATCCTTTATTCAGCACATGCCATCCGGTTTTATTTTCAAAACCTAACCCTTTGGCTTTAATATAATTTGCTATCATGAAGTTTTTGTTGACATTAACTGGGATTTGAACATTTGACCCTTTCCCACATTCATTCTAACTCTGACGTCGAGTACATGTAGAACAACATATGGACTGTACTGCCCCCTTACATTCCACTGCACCCTGACAGCAGAAGAGGAGAGGACGGTTGGTGTGTGCAGGTGGATTACCACGTCACCCAGCTCCCTCTGGATGTGACGGTGATCCACTCCCTGCATGGTGGACGTGCTGTCTGTTGGCACAAAAGAGAGGACAAAAAGAAGAAGTAAATAGCAACAATGATGCATTCAGGCAAACTGAAATTGGAAGGAAAAAGCAGTGAAAAGCTCAAACTGACCCTGTGTTCTGATGGAGTTGGAGATTGGGCTGGGGTCGCTGAGGCCGTAAGCATTCACCGCTCTGACCATGAAGAGGTAGACAGTCGCAGGCTTCAGGTTCCTCAGCACAAAGGTTTGGGTATTTATATGCTCAGCTAGGGTCACCCATCTGCTGCCCGACGTATAACTGCAGGGAGAGGAAGACATGACATCAGGAAGGAGGGTTCCATAAACCTTCATAGATGTCTATACACTGAAATACAGGAAATAATAATAAGTTAAACCTAATATTTTTGCTTTCAACCAACCTAATACAATCATGTGTAATTGTTGAGATAAAACATTTAATTGAAGTCAACATTTTAGTTTTTTCAGTGTATAGTAAGTCGTCAAAATATGCTAGCAACACTTTCTGAAACGCATGTCTATTAAGCATTATAAACACAAATGTACAGTGTAATGCACAATCATCTGCTTTTAGCACAGCATACCTATAACCCCTCATAAATATTCATTATGCTTTATAACAATAATCACAATACATTAAAAAGCATTCTATAATGATTAAAACAAGGTCAAGTATCAGTAAGGAAGTAATACTTCATAGATGTCATTCACTAATTGTTTTTTGCGATGTGTATTACTCATAGTTGTTATACATTATAGTCTTTTACACATCCTGGTTGAATACTTGATCCTGATTGGTCAATTACGGTATTCTACAGTCTGTTATTTCTTCATAACAGACCACTGATATCAATAGTGGTTACAATTATGTTCACTGACAGCAAAGCACAGTAAGGGGCATATGTGTCTAAGGAGAAGCAAAAACAAATCGAAGTCAATGTTATTAATCAAAATATAGATTTTTTTGTAGTTGGATAATGTACAGCGAGCAGGTCATTATTGCTAAAATAACCCTCCAGACTGATTTGAGAGCCAGTAAATGATCCCTTTCTTATAATTCTATATAATGAATGATTACTATATGATATTTGCAGTATAATCATAAAATACATTAGAAGTTTGTTTATAACTCTTTGAATTATTAAGTATATTGATTATTGAACATATAACAACAAATATAATGCTTGACAATGTGTTACATGTTTATTGTAATAGCATGATAAGTATCTACACATGCTTTAAACTATGATCATACAGTGCTATAAACAGATTATATGTTGTATGTGTTTTTATAATGTATTTTATACATGAGTGCTTCCCTTGTTAGATGTCATATAGAAGAAGTTCAAACATGTTGTATACTACATCTAACCTGAATGCCTCGATGAGGTAAGATGTAGGTTTCGCGCCATTATTGGTGTCCGATTTCCACGACAGAGTCACAGAAGTGCGGCTGATGTCAGTCACCTCAGGTTTGGATGGAGCACTGGGAATTAGGCTGGGGTCAAACGGCTCACTGGACTGAACAACAACTCCAAACTCTGCCGTAGAGAAACCAACAAATCAATAAAAGTACACTACCTCAGGACTATTAGCATGGACCTCTACTTTATGTCTCGATTTGTGTGGCTTACCCTCCACCTGTAGGTACGCTGTCCAGGAGGCCTCTCCGTTGGGACTAGAAGCTACACAAGTGTAGAAGCCTGTATCTCCAAGCTGAGGATAGGAGGAAGATATTAGTGGGTAGAAGTGTGGTTGCTGTAATTGTATACACTCACTGCTGTGTTACGCTTCCTACCTTAGAGTAACGAATCTCCAGAGATCCTGAGTCGGTAATGGACATGCGGGAGTCTGAAGGCGACATCACCAAACCATCCTTCTTCCAGTGGACTGTCGGGGGTGGAGAGTCAGCTGTCTGGCAGCCCATGAGCACTGTGCTGTCCACCGCAATGGTCTGATTGACTGGGCCCTGTCTAATCACTGGAGGAGGGTGGTCTGACCCAGCTAATAAACAAGCAAACACAATAGGGAAATCAAAGAAGGACATTCGGCCACTAGTAACTTCAATGATGCCGTTTAAAAACATAATAATGTAAGGGCGGTGCCGGCCGTCAACGGCCCTTGACGACCGGCCGTTCTGTGACTCTCCAGATTCTACAGATGGCCAATCCGCCCCACACACACCTCTACACACATCAAACTGCCCGATTACTTCCCCTTTTATTATTTTTATGAAGGAGATATCAGGTCACCAGGTCGCATGATGTGAGTTTGTTTGTGCTCTGCTCAGCTCCGCTCTGTGTGTCTGTGTTCTGAGTGTTTGTTTCCCTTTAAACAGGCAGCAGGTACTCTGAGAGTCACGGACATTAATTCATAGATCAAAGCAGACTGGTTTACAGACTCTCCTGTTTTGCCAATCCGGTGCTTAAACAAATAGCTCTACACCCCTGGCCGAAATGTCCATAATGTCTGAGTTTGAAATATATCTCAAATAATGTATACACTGTCATTTCCCCACGTAAACATAACAGTGCAATGAAATGGTTGTCTCCTGTGTGCTCCACTTCCTCCTTGGCGCAGCGGTAACTTTAAAAAAAACTAACAAAAAAAAGACGGGATAACAGGTTAGTTTCTTGTGCGCACAAGATACTTTCTCGTGTGCGCAAGATATTAACCCGTTTTTTTGAATGTCCCTTTAGGGGCTCCGTAGATCACCTATATCAGGGGTCTCCAACACGTCTCAATAAGTAGCTCCCCAAGCAAATCCAAAGTGTAAAAAATACACACAAAAAAAGGAAATACAATCAGAAGAATCTGCCCTATGCATAAACAAAACCTCAATCATAGCGAACTCTATCTTTTTACTACAAATCTATATCTATCTAACACCCCTCCTCCCCCCATCCCTCCACAATGAATATCGACCATATCACGTTCTTGCTTGATTTGCGGGACCAGCGTTGCAGTCTGGAAGAAAAGCAATGTGGAGCGGCACCTCACCACTTCATAAGGAGTTTGACCTTGACCTGGCAGAATCTACATAACACATCAGCCCCATTGAACACAGCCTATTCATGCCAGCCTATACAACACATGAGGGGCATGAGAGTTTTACTGTGTGTGTTGCAACTTGCATATATATTTATTGCACTTGACGACACACACGCATGGGCGTAATTTCCACTGGGGACAGGGGGGACATGTCCTCCCCACTTTTCGAAATCCTGTTTGTGTCCCCCACTTGACAAATGTTTATTTATTTATTTTAATGCAAGCCGCCATCGTCACGGAGGAGCACACCGCTTCTGTGAGCGAGGGAAACAGAGAGAGAGAGAGAGCTAGAGAGAGAGAGCTAGAAGAGAGTGCGCACCAGTTATGGGGATTTTTGATGTTAGCATCTGGTGCTAGCTCAGAGCTAACAGATATTAGAAGCTGTTTTTACAACAAGGAGAGGGGGAGCTATCTCCTGTCAGAATGAGAGGCTGATAACTATATATCAGGTGATGTAAGGGAATCTCTGAGTGTTTGGATAGTTAACTTTAGTCGAAGTTATGTCAGTGGTTCTAAAATTCTTTAGTCATGTAAACACATATTTCCAATGCAGACCTTTTTCTATTTAATATAGTAAAAAATGAAGTAACAAATCATTCCACTGCGTAGGCCTACTATAGGACAGTCAAAAATTTAAAATGCAGTTTAAAAGGGGAGTGATTAGTAAAATATGCATAAATAAAAAGAAAGAATGCTAACTAGACCACATAAGATAAGATGGAGGAGTTTATAAAATAAACAAGTTTAAATGATTTCGTATTGGTTGTGATTATATTCTAAAGATTTTTGGATTATTGAAAAGTATACAGCTCTCTTTCATGAGTGTTGAGAGCAGTATCTATGAATTCGTTTTGTGTCTCAAAGCGCACCAGATTGATGCATTTAACTTAAACATTTAAAACTTAATTGTCCCGGGGAGCATGCCCCTGGACCCCCCTAGAGTGTGTGAGAACCCCCTAGAGCAGCTGCCGGAACATGGTACATCGACACAGACTGTTACTTTTACAATAATACTATATGTAAACGGTCTCTGACAAAAAATTTACCAGTATAACCAACATGAACGCTCGGTTGATAAATTCCGTCCCATGAACACATTTTTCNTGTACTGTGTGTTTGCATGTGGGGAGTGTTGCAGTAGAACATTCCACTGTAGCGCCCCTTGTGCTCGCGCTTTTGTGCGTGCTCTATAGTAATAGTGTTCACTGGAGTCCAGTTCCTCAGCACCCCCACTCAAAATACCTTCCCGCGCCTCTGAACTAAACTGTATATATATGTATATATATATATATATATATATATATATATCAAGTACAGTAACTACAACTAGCTAACGTTGTAGCCAAGCAGAGTGGACAAGTTGCTGTTAGCTGACAGTGAGGCACGTACCTGTCCATCAAAGTGACCACGCCCTAATTCATGCAAAAACTTTAAGGCCTAATATAAATAAAAGGGTCGCGTTATAAAACAATTCACTCACCAATTCATAATCATGAAGGTGGAATCTAACTATATCCCGAATAATGTGTATTGCATCCAGTAGTAGAAACATGTTTATTTCTTCTGTAAAGTTGGGCAGAGAGACAGCATTTTTGATTGCAATCAACCGTTTTTAACATCCGCTACACATGTTTTTGTTGTAACTCTAATTTGTTATTTGCATTTCCCGACCAACACCTCAGCAGCCACGCTCGGCCTCTGTCCCCGACACACACCTACAGCTCCATCCCCTTCTGCATGGACACCGATGGGAAGGAGGAGGAAGAAAGTGAAGAGGAGGCAGATGAGGAGACAGACGCAGAGCCCGCTGAAAGTCACTACAGCCAACACCACAACCGGCAGAAGCACAAACACCAGCTGCTCCCCCCCTCTCCACACAAGCTGCTCCTCCACGGGCTGGAGCAGACCCCCGCCTCCAGCACCGGGGATCTGGACAGGTCGGTCACAGGGTCCATGGTAAACAGCTGGGGCTCAGCATCCGAAGACAACATCTCATCTGGCAGGTCCAGTGTTGTCAGCACCTCGGAGGGGTCCTTCTTCACAGACGGAGATTTCAACCAGGCGGCGTTGTCTTTGCGTGAAAACGCCGGCCTGCGCATAGGCCGATATCCAGAGGAGTCAGGTGAGAGGGCTTATGGGGAGGACTGGGTTTTATTTGTCTTTAAACATATTTGCTACATTTTTGTATAGGGCATAATTTGTTCCAGACAAAAATATCAAGCAACTTCTGTATTGAAAAGATGCCAATACAGTATTTATTAGTACTTTTTTTACATTCATGGTCCCCCAGAAGAGGAAGATAACTAATCTTAGTGATCCCATGACTCGTTATCCAGCACCACATTAGTTAAATATGTATTTAATTAATTTCTGTAAAATGACATACAGATATTCAAAGTCCCCATAGGATACATCCAGGAATGTTGGTAATTCCCCAACTTTTCATGTAGTTTCACCATCTGGTTACATTTGTTTTCTTTTATTTAGTAGAATTGTGTCACATCTTTAAAACATTGCATTGTGTACGGACATTCATAGTCCCCAGATGATGAATCCCAATAACTTTAGTGAATCTCATTGTAGGCCTGCACATACCCAGATGCAGATACACAGAGCAGTCAGGTGTATTTTATGGGTCATTTGGTCAACAAAAAAAAACGGGAAAAAAACGATTTGATACATTTAGCCTTGAAACGTTTTTATAGACATTCACCGTCCCCAGAGGATAAAGCACTAAAGGATCTTTAGAATTTTTATCTAGCATGATCATTAATTAAATATCAATTGGATTTATTGCTGTGAAATATGAATATGCATCTAAGAATGTTGTTGATTTCCCAACATGTACAATTGTTTGACAAGTATCACATGGTGGAGAGACATTCATTATTCTCAGATGATGTATTTTGATAACTGGTGATCCCTGGATTATTTTCTGTTGTGACATCATAGTTTTTCTCTATCAGTTTACAATTACAGTAGAATGAAATGTAATTAAATTAATTAAATTAAAATTAATTAAATAAACATATAATATGTGTGATATGACTTTGTGATGACTTCAGGCCGGCGCCCCCAGCGGCCCAGCAGCCCCATGTCCACAGACAGCAACATGAGTCCTGCAATAACACATAAAAGACCCAGAAGACATAAACAGAACCAGTCTGGTCACCAGGACTACCAACCCAAAGATGTCTTCAATGATGGTAAACACAGAACCAATAATGAAATCAGAGACTTAATCCTGTTTATCTCCTAATAACTCACTAACATTTGGATCTCTGTGTCCCCAGACTCCTGCACGCCTCTGAGTTTTTCCAGCAAGATGTCCCACGGCGACTATATAGCGAGGGGCGCCACGCTGCCCCGGGTGGGCTCTGGGGAGGCCCGGGGGCGGAGGGGCAGCACTGGGACTCACAGGGTCAGGGAGGCTGCAGAGGGCCAGGAGAAGCACAAGACTCCACCCGGAGGAAAAGGAAGCAGCAAGAGCCGACAGCACTCAGGCACTGGATGGATTTTATTGCACTTTTTTAAATGTGATTGAGTGGACTAGCTGACTAAAAGGTTTTTTTCTTGTGTCTCCTACAGAATTAAGGGATGTCCTTCTGTACAGTCGTCCTGCTTTCCCCTCAGGTCATGCTCAGAGGGAGCCTGATGATACTCACCCATCCAGCTTTATGTCATGTGGAGACTCAAGGACCAAACAGGGAGGACAGGTGGAGGAGGTAAATCAAAGAACTCGAAGCTCTACATCTCAAATTCCTTGCTAGTTATTTGGTGTTCCTCTTCCCAAATATGTGTTTTTTGTAAAACTTTCATCCCTTTTAGTTGTAAGCACTAAAACGCTCTATGACAATAATCATAACACAAAATTAAGCATTTTAGACAGACTTATAAACTCATAATTTCTAGTTACTCACTGATATTTTCTGTATTTAAATTCCCATTGTTGTAACACATTCTAATCTTTTAATTCACGACTACTGTATAAAACAATACTCAATTCTGATTGGCTGATTACAGCATTCTACAGTTTGTTATTCAAAGCAGTGTTTTGATATTCCCTTACACCAGACTGCTGCTACTTTAAGTATTAATAAATTAAATCCTCTTTAAAATAATATTGTTATTTCAATTTAAAAAGAGATTCTGGCTGTGTGAGAAAGGAGGTAAATATACGGCATACTTTTTTTTCGCAAGGATTAGCGTTTTATAATTAGCAATAGTTTTAAAACATAATTAAATGATAATATTTTTATATACATGAATCACTTTCATAATGACTTATAATGGGATTATTAGTTACATTAAGTGGTCATTGAGTGCTTTAAGTGAAGAAATTACATCCCAGGGGTAAAGGCACGTTAAATACATCACAAGCTGTTTTTAATAAATCATATCATAAATCATAAATAAGTCAAATACAATTTATTTTATCCTATTTTGTATGCATAAATTAAGTCATATTTTATTCAGCTACATTAAGCTTTACTCTAAGCAAAACAATTATGATAAAAATGCATTATTTAAATATTATAATGTTTTACAACCAAGTTGATTTCAATGCACGATCCTTGCAAAATGATCGTCAGTAAAAAGCAATTATTAAGTTGTATGATACTTGACCTTATACGTAATTAGTAAATGCTTTATAATGTTATAATTATAACACATGTTCATGAGTAAAATTATACAGCGCTACAAGAAGTTGAGAATGTATCATAATCATAATCAGTTTTATTACCATGTATCTTTACACATACAAGGAATTAGCTTTGGTATATGTGGTGCATACCAAGACACAGAATACTACATTCTGAGTATAAGTATGTAAATAGACCCACGCTGCTATATAAAGTGTTACCATGTTTATTTTAATATCTTTGATTTAAGGAGAGAAAAATAAATGACAATATTTTCTTTCCACAGTTCCTCAAAAGCTAAGAAGCAAACCGAGCACAAAAAGAAAACTTACCGTTGCTTCGGACGAAGGACTTTGACCATTAAAGGATGGAAAAAAGACTTTAGAAATACTGCACAATACATGCTATTGTTTTTATACTTCGAATTTCTCATTTGGTGTTGAAAAAAAAAGAAAAAAGTGCCCTCATGTTTGAGCCTGTGGACTTCAATTAGTTTGCTTTTCGGGTGCCGGCCTGCAGGAGTCCACTGCTGGTTTCCCCTTGGTAATGCAACATGAATGCACATTTAATGGCGACCATGAGTGTCTACACAAACATCGTCCGTGGCGTCTGCACGATGCGGCGCCGTACCTGATCTTTGCTTGTCAGTTGTCTTGTTCTTTTTTCCTGTAATTGATATCCAGTTCATTACCAGCCATCTTGTAAATTCCTGAAATTGTTTACTGCCACAGAAGTGCTTCGAATTCAAATTTTATATAACAGTGTTAATGTTTTATAAGTGATGTACATCTTGTCTTTGTATTATTTGTCCTACTTTGGTTATAAAAGCACAATCACTTAGTTTTTATTCTAAGTCTTTATTATTATGAATTCCAGTCTGGAGGAAAAACAGGCTTTGTCAATCATTTCGTTCAGGCTGAGAAAACGATTGTTGATTGTGATTGTGCATTCAGTTGCGTACATGTAAGCTGCTTTCATACAGATGTGTTGTGTGTACTGAGAGAATTGCATGCAGATTCACCTGTAAGAGCTTTTACTTAACATCTTGACTGCTTAATCGTCCTTTTGGGATGATGAAAAAAAAAAATTGTTTAGGGACTGGTTCCATTTTTTGTTTTCTCCACTGAAGCCCATGTCATTCAGCCCTGTGTTCCCCTGACCTTTGCCATAGCTCTTTGGAGCAGGGCTGGACAATAGCTGTCATTTATCTAAGTACTTATCAATGAGACACATTTTCAGTAATTATATATATTATAAAAAACTACAAATATCAGAAAGTCAGTGTAAGAAAGTGAATATAATCAGAAAATGTTGTATTAAAAACATATATTGATATTGTATTATTTATAGATCTAATGTTACATTTTGCATTGCGTGATACATTTTGGTCATATTGTCCAGCCCTATTCTGTAAGTTAAATATGGAAGAAATTTGTCACTTTAACTACTCTGTTTGAATAAATATTGCTGTTCCTTAAGCAACAATAACATATAATGTCATTCTTTGAACTTAGTTATAGCATATTGTCATTGTAGTCCCAAATGAAACCCATTTTTCCAAAATTAGTAACCAGAAATGGCAAAGAAGTGAAAAACTGCTTTGTGTAGAAATGTCATCAAGGAAATCAAGCCTTTAAAGTGACCCTTAGTCATAAAATGGGTCATTAATTTGCTTTACGGTTTCAAATTACAATTTTAGAGAAAACTACTGCCCATGTAGAGGGCACATTTTTTATTAATTAATTAAATGTATTTTTAAAAAATGTCAAAGGGTCTGCAGTGAGCCTGTTGTAGCTGAATATCACATGAGTTGATTGCAGGTTGTTCAGATCACCTGTTGGCTCCTAATTAAGAATTGACAGCAGCTGGTGCGTTTCCCCTCTCGGCCAATCAGAGTGAGACAACAACCTTTCTATAGAGCTTAAGAGAGGTTGAGAACTGCACGCCAAGGACATTAGGATGATTCCTTCACCTAATGCACACCTTATATCAGCAGATGTTAAACCCTGGTCTTTGGCTCTTTTTATAATCTTTGCTGTCTTGTTTTTTCTTCTTCATGTTTTTTTTTTACATTTTCAAACCTAATTTGAGAGTTTAGAAAACCTCCTTTATACACATTTTCTCTCTCCAAGTTGTGGTTATATTTCACGCAGGCTCCGCCCTCTACTGGACACTATGGGTACTACCCTTAACCATGCTAGCATTCACATAATGAGTTGAATAAACGTAGCCGGCCAATCAGGGCGAGCCTACCTGAATGCGCGTCCCACCACCTCTGCTTCAAGTGTTTGGGGGACCAGAATATCCCTGAGGCGGTGCCATTCACGTTCACCATTCCAGCGGGGCGGATGGCTCCGTTTGCCGCGGAGGAGGATGACGAGGACTTCTCGTTGTCGGACACTTCCGGGTCCGGCGTCCATGGAAGTCCACCGCCAGGTCTGTCCGCCAGGACTTCCCGCTGGTGATGGCCATGGCGGCGGAGCGTGGCAGCCCATGTGCTCCCAGCAGGCAGCAGGCGCGCACGTGAGGGGAATAAACCGCAGAAAGTGCTGTCAAAGCACTGTGCGGGTTGAAGAGACGATATTGCCGGCGTGCTGTTGTCAGAAAACACACCTTGTCTGGTATAATAGCTCCGATTAAAGCGTTTCACTGTTGAATGTGAAAACACAGTGTTAATACAAAGGCGCGCGGCCCCGTGAGAGTCCGTGCACACTCTTCACGGGGTATGGCCGTGTCATCAGACTTGTTCACCGGCGTGAGTGTGGAGGACATATGCATGGCCTGCGTCTATCGAAATCAGTCGCATTGACCCGAAGACACATTTCGAGTTGTATACACTGCTGGAAAGAGGGTATTCCTAGCTTTCTAATGATATCAGGATTGTTTTTGTACTCCAAATATTAAGCGAAATATGTCACATTATATAAT